CCCCCCCCCCGGCTCAAGACGGCGACGCTGAAACGGCGGCCCGAGTTCTCACCGGGCTCGCAGCTGCAGTCGTAGCGCGTGACCAGGTCGGCCCGGTAGCGCGCGTTGATGGGGTTGCCGTGCGCCAGCTTGATCATCTTCTTGAAGGCGTCGTAGATGAAGATGAAGCTGATGAGCGCCGAGAAGCCTTCCTCGGTGAAGCGCGTGAAGTACTGCACCAGGAAGCTGGCGTCGGTCGCCACCAGCATCAGGCAGAAGACGCCCGACCACAAGCCGATCCACAGCCGGAACTCCAGGTAGTCGAAGCCGTTGTCCCTGCTCGCAAAACAGCGCAGTTGGGGCATCCGTCTCGGCCGTTCCCGACTTTTCCTTTCCTCTTCGCGGCTTTCTTTCGATTGGCCGATATAGGCGGCGACGCGCACGCGCGACAAGTGTTGCGATACGATCAAACCGCGAGTGCGATGGCAAACAATTACGAGGACGGACGTTTGCTTTTCCTTTCTTTTTTTTTTTTCGGGGCGCCCGCGATCGAGCACACCGACGTCATCGTCGTCCGATCAAGGCGAAGACTGACTTGCTGAAGCTGAAGAGGAGCCGCTCGAAGACCAGCACGGGTCCGGTGCTGCTGAGGATGGTGAGGGGCTGACCCGCGAGCAAGCAGAACACCGAGCCCGTCAGAGCCGTGCCCAAAAAGCTCTCCAGCACACCCTGTCACACATTTCACGTCTTCTCGTTATGATCGGCTTTTTTGGTTTTCTTTGCTCAATGCTCCCCCCAAAAATAAAAGCCGTCCACGTGAGCTTTTTAAAACGAGCAAGAAATATTCCGGTACGTTTGAGTTGACACTTCAAAAGTCCATTTTAAGCACGAGGACTAAAAGGGGAGACACAGAAACTCAATTTGGGATTGAAAACAAATGAATCGTTTCAGTACAAATTCACTTTTTTCCATCACATACGCAACACATGAGAGATTTTATGACTATTTGATGCCAAATAAGGCTTCAATTTGTCCGAAAAAAACAACCCAAAAAAAAAACAACCGTAAGACTATTTTTTAATTTGAAATCTTTTTCTCATCCTTTTTTGTTCAACTTTTGTGTGTGTGTTGTACCTGCATGCTTTCAGTGGCGTCCCCCAGCAGCCCTCCGAAGGTGATGGCGTTGGTGACCGTGCCCAGGTAGATGAACAAGATGGTGGAGAGCGACTGAATGTGGAGCGCGTCGTAGAAATCGCTGGCAAAGAAGGGCAACTTCCGCTTCACGTCCAGCACCAGGCCGCCGCAGAACCTGACGACAAAAAAAAAAAAAAAAAAAAAAAACAAAAAAACGCCGCATGGAACCGTTCATATTTTCTCCCAAAACGTCCTAATAATTGTTGAATTTTTTTGAGGTTTTTGCTTTACTTTCTGGTGCACTGCAGCTCCTCGCCGACCCGGTGACCTCCACCCCCGCCCGGACCCGCGTCGTGGGGCGCGTCGCCGTTCATGGGCGGGGACTCCGAGGCGGCAAATTGGTTCTTTCTGGAGGATCCGCCCATTTTGGTGTCAAACAGCCAGTCGGAAAATGAAGAGAAAACAGCTGTGGTTTTTGAAAGACAACATACGACGGCAAACGGACAGCGGTGGCGAGCAGCATCCGGTGGCGCTTTGGACACGGCTTCCCATACAAATCTCAAAGAATGACACAAAAAAAGGACAAAAATGTGGCGTTTCGGAAACGTCAACTCGGAGGCCACTCCCTTTGCGAAACGGCGCCCACCTCTTGTCCGAAGACGGCAGCGTCTTTGGCGGTTCTATCCTGATGTCGGGGTCCCACTCGCCGGGGGGCAGCACGATGACTTCGTCCAGGAACTCCTCGATGCCGGCCAGCAGGTCCTGCCGGTGCTTGGCCTTGTAGGCGATGTCGTGGAACACCTAGCGAGGGATTAAAAATTTAAAAAAAAAAAAAAAAGTGCTCACTCCCATCGTTGGAAAAAACACGGCTGCAAATTTGTCAGTCGGTATGTCACGCCAGCGTTCCAGGAAGGGGCGGGGGGCGGGGCGAGGGCCGAGCACACGCGCGCAGTCAAGCTTTGACGTGCCTCTGGGGGTAAAGTTTAACATGAGGAAATCCAGGAAAAGCGCTTCCTGCGCTGCCATGTTGACATAGGCGACACGGGAGGGGGAACGAACATTCCTGTCAGGACACCGACACAGCCGCCACATTCAAGCTTTTTTGGGTGAAAAGCGCACGCTACTAGCTGTCCCTCTCGATCCACACAGACGGACGGGTACACATTACAGATAGAGACATCAAATGTGTTGTTGGTGGGTTTTTTTCGGTAACGAATTGTCTATTCTTTAAGATATCAAATAAACGCGTGGCACAAAAGAGGTAAGAAATGGCACGCAAACCTCGTCGGACATCAGAGTGGCGATGGCTCTTCCGATCTCGTGGTAGGACTTTGCTTTTCCTTTTGGGCCCAGCAAAACAAAGAGGAACCTCGACGGCAGAAGGCGGCGTTGGCGATGAGCGCGGGCGTTCCGGCGCGGGGGGGTCGTCACGTTCGGACCTACCTGGTGGGCACCGGGACCTCGGTGAGCGCGCCCAGCATGACGGCGTGCTGCAGGCGGACGAAGGCCACGAAGGGCGTCTCCAGGAAGTCCACCTCGCCCACCAGCACGTTGGACGCCTCGGCGTCGCGGGGAAGCTTCTTCATGAACTTGTTTTTCAGCTGAGACCCGGCAGGGAACAAAAAATAATCCGAATAACAATCGCGTCGGGTTCAGTGCAATAGCTGACAATCACTCTATGATGACTGAAGCAGTTTTGACTTTCTGCCGCTGGAGGTCCATCCATCCAACGCTTATCCGGGGTCGGGTGGCGGGAGCAACGGCTTGAGCGGGGAAGCCCGGACTACACTCGAGCGAGCGAGCGGTAAATTGCGAGCTTGGCCTTTGAGCGGCCAGTAGCGACCCCCTTCGGCAAACCTGTTCTCTTCGAGGATCGCGGTTGGATTCAGATACGCAATTGGAGGTCTTTGGGAGAGGCCCGGACGGCTGCTACTTTTTTGCTCTCTCGTCGGAGGGGATGGCGAAATCAGGAGAGGCGTCGGATCTTAAAATAGCGGTTCGGCGACCCCGGCGGGGGTTACCTGATCCTTCTCCGGCTTGTCCGAGAAGTCGCTCAGGCTGTTGGAGGTGAGGGTGCGATGCGCCGTGGTGGGGCTACCTGCGGAGAGATCAGCAAGGCGGGGCCGTTACCGGACCGGCAAAGCGACGCGCGGAGAGAAAGCAAGTGCCTGGATAGAGTCGAGAAAGAGGCGGCCAGAAACTCGGAGTCGAGATTAAAGCCTCCCGGGACGGATGGCGGGCGCTCCTTCGAACCGAAATTGTGAGAAAGGCTTTCAAAGAGTTCCATTTTGGCAAACCGTCGGGATTAGCGATGGCACCGGTGGATAAAAATCTCGTCTTCTCAGAAGACGCGATCAAACCTGACACCGAGGAACGAAAAGGTCACGACTGCGAATTCCTCCTAATTGTCAGCGCCACGGCCAAGGTGGGCTCGAGCTAAGGTCATCCCCCCTTTCTCTCCGTTCCAGAAAGTTCTCTTTGGTTTTGGCAGAAATATTGACCCTTTCAGAGTACCGGGGGCGAGGCGGGACGAACCGGGCGTTTGGGGCGGGCCGCTCGGGTCTGTCCGCTCTATCGGAGGCTCGGGGGTCGCGACCGGGGTCGGAGTGGAACGTTGGCGCGGTCGGCAGTCAAACGAGGGCGTTTTGACAGCGGCCGTCGAGTTTGGCCGCCGACCGTTTTCTATGCGGCGGACGGAGCGAGCCCGTCGATCCGGCGCGGAGGGAAACGTCCGGACCTTCGGAAAGACTTTGGCGGGCCGCGGTATTCGCGCCGGTCGATGACATCGCGCCGGGGTCGCCGCGAGCGGCCGACGGAGATGGCCCGCGACCTCACTTACAGAGGTATCCCGTGCTGGCGCTCCTCAGCACCTCGCGGGGGTCTTCCGGCTCGTGCGGGGAGAAACAAGGCACCGGGTGCTCGGTGAGGTTGCGCGCTTTAACACGCCAACGCCGGTGGAGGCGGAGGACGGCCCAAAAGAGGAAGGGAAATCGGGAAGAAAGCGGGAGAGCAAGTCATTAGTGTGAAGATGAAACGGAAGGTGGAAGGAAGCCAAAGCTTAGACGACCTGGGGGGGCGACGCCCAGGACTCGGCGGCAGGAATACCGTTCTCCTGGCTGGAAAAAAGCCTGCTGGCGCTGGAGACGCTTTTGCCGATGTCGGCGAGCGAGCGCAGGTTGGATTTCTTGGTCTGGTGGCGATGCCGGCGCAGCAGCGTGTACACGACCCTCTCCTTCAGGTCCGCCTTCAGCTGTCCGCTCTCGATCCGACTGTCCGTCACCATCTCTGGCGGAAGCGGGCGCGCGCAGAACAAATGAACGACAGTCCAAAGTCGGCGTCGGTTCTGCCGGGGAGCGGCGTACCGACGACTTGCGGCAGCGTGGAGGCCTCCAGGTCCAGCAAGATGGTGCCCTTCTCGATGCACGCCTTGAGCTCCATCAAGCTGTGCAGCGACAGCGTGGCCACGTGGGGCTTGCTCCAGCGCTCGCCGCCCTTCTCCACCTTCTCCTCAAACTTGATCCATCTGCGGGCGCGGGACGCAAAAGGAGGTCGTCGCGAGGAGGCCGACGGAGCCGGAGACGGCGACGCGCGATACGGGAGGGCGGAAGGATCATCGCGGCCACCGTTCGCGATGCCACGGAAGGCGGAGGACGAGGCTTCCCCGTGACGATCTCGCCGCCTCCGACGTCAACGGAGCCGTTTCTCCCGAGGCGACGAGGCGGGTGGGGTTTCCCGCGGGGCATCGGGTGTCGCTCGGCAAGCGTTCCGCCACGCCTTACGAGGGCGGCGGAACGCTTGCCGAGCACCTCATCCCGCCCACTCGGGTGGCGCCGCCAAACATCGCCCTCAAGTGATTTGATTCTCAAGCGCCACGTGTACCCGAGCGCCATTTTTCACTTTGACCTGCATCGGCCCGCCGGAGTTGAATCGGCGTTCCAACGTTTTTCAGTGTTTGCTTCTTCTTCCCCAAGTGCGGAAATGTGAGTACATTTCTGGGAGTTTCTGCCTCTTCCCGCTCCCACGGGGCGGGGCAGGTCCTACCGCCATTCATCTGATAAGAGCAGACCGCTAGTCCACCCGGCCGCTCCGATAACGTCTTTTCTTTTTTTTCTTTTCTTTTCGCTCTCAGTGCCAAACACCAAACGAAAGCGCGCGTAGCGGCGGCGCGGCGATCCTTTACCTGGCGGTCTCCTTCCACTCCATCTCCTGCCCGTCGACCGCCAGCAGCTCGTCCAGCTCGGTGAAGAGCTGAGGGGGAGGGGGGCCGTCATCTTCCTCCCCCAAGATGAAGCGGATCCTCTCCGCCGGGGAAACTACAGAGAGGGAACGGCGCAACTCAGATTGCCTTTCTTATCTGCGGCGGGCCGACGTCACGAGATGCGGCGTCGGGGGGAACGTTCGGGAATCCCGCACGGGAACGGCAAACGGCGGCGCCGGTACGCGGCCGCGATCGGTACCGTTGGAGGCGGGTGTCGCGGGAGCTCGACCGAAAAGCGCTGGGCTTCAGGTTGCAAGGTCAGGAGTAGTAGCGAGGAGTCAGGAGGTCAGATCGAGGCGGTTGGCCGATTGGCACGTTGTGTCGGGGGGATCTGGGGTAAGGCAAAGGCTGGACGCCTTTCACACATACAGACGAGCGGGGCGTTAGGAAGTCGCTTTGGTGGGTTCGGTGCGAGAAGTGGGCAGGCAGTGTTGGGCTTGAGGCGGACGTATCACGGCTACGGCAGAAGATGCGGCACATCTGGGGGTTCAGAGATACTATCTGGGTGAGATGCTAGCATCAAGGAGTTAGATTGCTTGGGCCATACTCCCGCCGCCAACAGATAGGCGGGCCATTTACAGGACCGACGACGTGAGCTGACCTGAC